AGGGAGTTTCTGGTCACTAGGATTTCTGGCTTATGTTTTCTTTTCTTCCTTTAATGTTTATTTACTTATTTAGGGAGAACGTGGGTACACAAGCCGGGGAGGGGCAGGGAGAGAGAGAGGATCCCAAGCAGGCTCCGTGCTATCAGCACAGAGCCCGACGTGGGGCTCAACCTCACAAGCCATGAGATCATGACCTGAGCCGAAAACAAGAGCCGGATGCCTAACCCACCGAGCGCCCCAGGCACCCCTCTGGTTTATGGCTTCCTGCTGCTACTTGTCAGTCTCCACAAACACTCGCAGGATGAAGGCGTTGGACAGCAGAAAGTAAAATCTCAGAGGCCGTGAATGTGGAAATTTAATCCAGTGTCATCTCAGACACCACGGGGCCGTTCGCTTAGGTATCTCCCCGATTCCCGTCCACCCACCTTCTTCCAGGGCTGGCTCACACTGGGCAGAACTGGATTGCTGCTCTGTCAGAAGTTACCCGGATCCCTTATCATCGTGTTCTGGCCCATTGAGACCACCTGCTCTTTTGGGGGGCCTCTTTCAGTCTTACCCTTTCATACCCTCCCAGGAGGAAGCTCCGGCTGGAGTGTTCTCGGCTTCTGGTCCATCGTGTGCTTAGCCAAGACCTGCTACCTCCTCAGGCGGCAGCCAGGCTTTCACCATGCCCTCTGTACTTTGACCTTTTCCATTCTCTTGCCGTCCATGCTGTCGTTCATTGCCTTCTCCCTACTTAGCGCTGTCTCTCCCTCGTCAAACTCCGTTTTGTTTCGAAGTACGAAGTGAACCCCGTGCGTCGGGTTCAGACCTCACCTCGGGCTCAGAACATGAGACCTGGACTTGGGCCGCGTACCTTCCTGGAGGCATCCGCGTGAGAGTGGCACCTGTGAGACTGGGTGGGGACAACAGCCAGTGGCGGGCACGGCATCGAGAGGGGCCCCTCTCCCTGTGCGGGAGTCCCAGTGCGGACCGCGTGCAGAACCCCGTAGAACGTGTCACAAGGCGGGCTCCCCGGAAAGACGGGATCCGGAGATTCACCCACAGGTTCATCTGCCCCGTGGGCTGGGGTATCCCCTCCCCGGCCGTCTGACCGTAGCCCCGTGTCTGGCACCGAGCTCTCTTGGAAGACTTGGAGAGAGCTTCAGGACGGGACCTGACACTGGTCACGACGGGGTCGCCTGGTGGAATGTGGGCCTGTCCTCCACAGATGGGCTGAGGGCGAGGGTCAAGAGGGTGTGTTCGCGAGCAAAAAATCTATTCCTGAAAAACTCAGCTGTTACCTTTTTTTTTTTTTAAGTTTATTTATTTATTTTGAAAGAGAGAGCAGGGGAGGATGGGGTTGGGGGGGGGAGAGAGAGTTCCAAGCAGGGTCCTCATCCTCAGCACAGTGGCCGATGTGGGGCTCGAACTCACAAGCTGTAAGACCATGACTTGAGCTGAAGTTGGACGCTTAACCGACTGCGCCATCCAGGCGCCCCTTTTGGTTTGTTTTGCTTTTAATTTTTAGCGAACTTAACACGAATCTCCTGGCTTGTTAGGAGAAACAGCAGCCCTTTGCCCCCACCAGCTCCCACCTGGAGACGGTCACCTTCAGCTCAGCTGGTCCTTGGAATTTGCTCTCGCCTGTCTAAGCTCCAGGCCGGTTTAGGGCAGTGAACAGGGGTGTCTGCTTCCACCAGCGGAGCTGAGGCTAGACTCCTCTTCGTGGGTTTCCGGCCCCCCGCCCTCCCCGGGTAGCAGCCTGCCGACTTGGGGAGACCCGCCGGCAGGACTGGGCGAAGGACTCGGTGCTGATCCGTTTTCTTACCCGTCTGCCCCGTGTCTTTGGGACTCCTTGTTTGTTCTCTCAGCTGGCGACTCCACTCCCCGCCTCTGCCCGTTTCTCACTCTTCTTGCGGGACGTGTGGGTGCGCCCAGCGCTCTATCAACGTCGTTTTCCCTCGGCAGCTTTAGGGACCTGTTCCGCGGCCCTGGCTGCCGGCCTCCCTGGGCCGAGCTGCCCTGGGAGCTCCTTCCCGTCACCTGGGGGGGGTCCCCTGGCGTCTTTCTGCTGGGCCTCTATCCTCTCTCCCGTGCCTTTGTCTTTGCTGGTTTTTGCCTTTGTTTTGGAGCATATCCACCAGCTTCTGCTAGAGACGGGGGCGCAGAGAGCAAAGTTTTCAAGATCTCGAAGGCCTAACGAGGTTTTTATTCTCTTGATTGGGCGTAGGTTAGAAGTGACTTTCCCCTAGAATTCTTAAAGGCGTTGCTGTATTGTTTTCTCATTTCCAGGGCTGCTGGTGAGAAGTCGGAAGCCACCTGACCTCTGATACTTTGTGCATGACTTATTTCTTCCCTCTGGAAGCTCGTGGAATCTTCCCTTTGGCCTCGGGTTCTGAAGTCTGAGGGTGACACGTGTGGGGCCTGTGGGGAATTTATCTATTGTGCCGGCCATTGGCACACCCTGTCGGTCTGAAGTTTGGTTTTTGGTTTTGTTTGCGTTCCTTGATCACAGCGCGTGTGTGATTTTTTTCTCTCGTTTCTCTGTCGTCTTTCCTGGGAGTCATTATTCCATGGTTGGGCCTCCTGGATGGCGTCTCTGGTTCTTTCTGCGGCTCCGCTTCCTGAGTGTTTCCTGTGTTTCTATGTTCTGGTTCTTGACTTGGGTTTTTTTTTTTTTATTGCTCAAGTTGTATTGTATTTTTTTATTTTATTTCTTACTTAAGTATTTACTTATTTTGAGAGAGAGAGAGCAAGTGTGAGCAAGGGAGAGGCAGAGAGAGAATCCTGCACTGTGAGTGCAGAGCCCCGTGTGGGGCTTGATCTCATGACCTGCGAGATCACGACCTGAACCGAAATCAGGAATTGGATGCTTAACCGACCGAGCCACCCGGGCGTCCCTCACATACTTTTAATTGGAAGAGCTCGCTTTCTCTCTCAGTGTTTTCTTCTGACCCTGTCTTCTTGTTTCACGGGTGCAGGACCTCTCCTCACGTGTCTTCCCGTCCCTGCCGGCCCTGCCCTGTTCGTCCTCTGTCTCCCCAAGGTTTCCCCGAGCTGCCACTGAGCCTTGGCCGTCGGCTGTGTTTGAGATCAGGCGCCAGCAGGCTGCTGGGAGCCCCGAGACTGGGGCGGGCTCCTGGGGGCGCCCTTAGTTGAGGTCCCTGGGCCGAGGGGACAGCCTCACTGGCTCCGTGCTGAGAGTGTTAACCTAATCGCAGGGGGTGTGCCTCCACCCACCTCTCGCCTGGAGCCCTTCCGGTTTGCTAGCAGGGCACATTCAGGGCCCAGCTGCTCTTTAATGTCTGTGGTTGCCCCCGACCCCACTTCTCAAGGTGCTGCCTGTTTCCTCGGTGTCTCCACCACGTGCCCCTGCCCACACCTGCCCAGTGTCGGCCCATCAGGCTCCCCGGGTTTCAGCCTCTTTACGCATCGCTGTATCTGGTTTGGGGTGGGGGTGCCCCAGGGCCCTTCGGCGGGCGGCAGGTTTCTCTGGCAGCTCGCCCCGCCTCCAAGACGGGTCATGTGAGTACCTGTGTTCGGCTCAGGCACCGTGTGGCTGTGCCCTTGACGCCTGAGCCCCCAGCCCCGTATGCACCGACCTCTCTGGCCCCCGAACCCCCGCTTCTGTGCTCGCGCTGCCTGGACTGCACGCCTCCTCTTGACCCTGGCCGTGTGTGCGGTCCTGCAGCTCAGGAGGCCGGGCCCGCTCCCCTGTCTGGCTGGGTCCAGACCCTTTGGCCACGTTGCGGGGCCAGGTCAGGTCCCTTTTGTCCATTCCTGTTCCTTGCTGGCAGCTGGCCTTCCGCCCCTGCGTGTTCCTCCGCGTCCTGATGGTTCTTAGCGCTGTGCCTTCCCTGACTCTGGTTGGGGGCCTTCGACTACCTTCTGCTATCTGACGGAAGGCCATCAGGGGGCTGGGCTCTGACCTCTGACCTCTGACCTCGGCTGGGCTGTGATCTCTGGGCATTGGGCCGTAGGGGGCAGGGCTTTAACAGCTGGTTCCCCCCAGGTCCTTCCTCAGATCCCTGTGAAGAGTGGTGGTCCCCATGGGGCAGGGGTCCTCGGTGAGTGGCTGACCCCTCTCCCTGCCCCCACCCCGGGAGGCTCCTTGGGGACCTGTTGGCAGCCCTTCCCCCTCCAGAGGCCCAACTGGGGAGGGAGGTCGGGCAGGTGACGGGCCAGGGCGGGGGCTGCATGGCCAGAGGCCCGCTGGAGCTGTCCACTCCTCTTCTCCCAGGGGTGCACCTGGAGGGCCCGTTCATCAGTCGGGAGAAGCGAGGTGCACACCCCGAAGCCCACCTGCGCTCCTTTGAGGCCAACGCCTTCCACGATGTGCTGGCCACCTACGGGCCCCTGGACAACGTCCGCATTGTGACGCTGGCCCCCGAGCTGGGCCGAAGCCATGAGGTGATCCAGGCGCTGACAGCCCGTGGCATCTGTGTGTCCCTAGGTGAGGACTGCCACCTCCAGGGTTGGGCCCGCGTGGGGTCCTGGGCTGGGTGCACACTTTGAGTCCAGGTCCCCTATGCAGGACACTCGGTGGCCGACCTGCAAGCCGCGGAGGAAGCCGTGCAGAGTGGGGCCACCTTCATCACCCACCTCTTCAACGCCATGCTGCCTGTGAGTGCCCCG